CTGGGGAATTCTGGGAGTTGAAGTCCGCCCATCTTAGAGTCGCCCAGGTTAAGAAACACTGCTTTAGAAGGAGAGCAAAGTGTGAATCACCCCTCCTTTTAATCTGAAATGCCTCCTGTAAGGGGTGACTTTGGAAAACGTAAAGATTAAAGCCTGTCGCTTAAGACGGCTCCACGATTTCGGACAAGGAATCCATTTTCCTGGAACCCCCGAGACGGAGCTTTGAAACCTCCACATTGGCAGAGCGTACATTAGTTTTTGGTTTCGCCGATTCTAGCTACAAAATCTGGATTTTCCCACCTCGGCTGTACTACAAGGAGCTTGGCAGGGAGGTGAGACCCTCTGCACATGCTCCGTGGCACTTTACCCGGGGTTGCCAGGTGGGGGGAACAAACCGCGGGCCCTGCTTGTCCTGGGAACCGGATCCAAAATCGACGGGGGGGGCTGGTCCTGGTGGCCCTCGAAAGCCCTTCCTTCCTATCCTCATTCTTGCAATTCTCCTTGGCAGAAAGTATCCGGAAGTTTCTCAACCGGCCTCCCATCCATCTCCTGGTGAGGGTGAAGCTGGAAACCAAGCCCAAGAAAAATGAAGACCGGGTGCTGGTGAGATTTTCCGGGGACGCGGCAGAGGCGGAAGAGACGGCGCTGCGGTCTGCGATGTCGGGACTCAGCTCGGCTGACGACCGACGGTTGAGAGATGCGTGCAGACGCACTCTCTGCAACCTTCTGGAGCAGCGTCAGGTCCCCGTTGGTACCCTGCATAATCATCTGCTCCTTTCCCAGAATCCTCTGGGAGAATCTGCTTCTCCCACCTTGCTTCCCAGAATCCTTTGGGAGGATCCACTCCCTCATTAATCTTCTGGGAGTAGCAACTTCTCTCACCTCCCTTTCCAGAACCCTCAGGAAGGATCTGCCCCTTTCTCCACCCTTCCCAGAATCCCCCAGGAGGACTCGCCCCTTTCTCCTCCCTTCCCAGAATCCCACAGGAGGATCCTCTCCTTTCTCCTCCCTTCCCAGAATCCCCAGGAGGACCCACCCCTTTCTCCTCCCTTCCCAGAATCCCCCAGGAAGATCCACCCCTTTCTCCTCCCTTCCCAGAATCCCCTAGGAAGCTCTGTCCCCTTACCTTACTTCTCAGAAATCTCTGAGAGGCTGCATCCTGCTCCCTAGTTAGCAATATCCCCTGGAAAACCACTTCCCCAAAATAGGCAGATGTTCATCGGTAGATCTTCTGCCATTAGTTCTCCGTGTTGGGAAGAGCTTTAGCTGTGGACTCCTGCTTGGGGTAACATTTTGTCCGATTTTAGGGTGGTTTTATTAGACTGGAGGCACAGATCAAGGGAGAGCTACTTGAAGGGGGGGCGGACGGGCTTATCCTGGGTTAAGATGGATGAATATCAGAGTTAGAAACTGGACCAGACAGAAGAAGCTTGTCTTTTTTTAAAAAAAGGAAGCTACTAGCAAGTTCAAGCAATTGGCTGAATTCCCCTGCCCATGCCAGCAATTGGAAAATAATAAAATAAAATAAAATAAAATAAAATAAAATAAAATAAAATAAAATAAAATAAAATAAAATAAAATAAAATAAAATAAAAAGAT